GCGTCGGCCACAACCGTCGCACGACGGAGCTACAACCAAGGGGGAAATTCTACAACCGGTGCTTCAATTTGCTACTGTCGGCATCTTTTTTTGCTGGAACCAGTTGAAAGTAGGCGCGGAGGTGCTGCATCCAGCGATGTAATTTGCTACATGCCGCATCGATTTTGCTGGAACCAGCACCAAAAAATGCTTCCACCAGAGTTCGTTTTCTTTAGACCATCGATTTTTGCTACAACCACGTTTTTTGTTGTTGGAACCAGCACCCAAAAATGCTTTCACCAGAGTTAGTTCTTCGTTCTTTGCTGGATGAGCGACTTTTTGCTACAACCTTATCTTTAATTTGATTCAACAGGGGCGGCAATACAAAGCTTCTTTTTCGACAACTTTTTTGTCTGCGAGCATCGACGGAGAGCGCTGCCATCAAGCACGGCGGCGACTTTCGACGGTGAGAGCAAACGGGGGAGGGCGACGGCGCACTGCGCGACATGGCGACGGGGGGCGGCCGCCATGACCTGCAGCGGTGCTTTCTTCAGATCTGAAAAACGTGCCAGGGTGACAAGCGTTGGGAAAGGCGCCATCCGACGGCTATGCGGGGGTGCATCTAACGGCCAGGGTTGGACCGGCCCAAAGTTTGGACCGGCGCACCGGCGCAGAGTGCTGCGAAAAAAAACTCCTGTCCATAGTCGCATTGCTTACGTACGTACTCGGTACTCCTTCTGAGGACCCTTCTAACGACAAAAGTCAATGAGCGTACAGATATGGACTTGTTGGGGAGGGACTACAATAGAATCTGGGCTTGTAGTAGAAAAATAGAAAAAACAGATCTGGACCACTAGATGGGAGACTGATGGCCCAGATTTAGGTGGAGGGATCTCAGACCACTTAATGTACTTTTCACGGAAAACCCCCTGCCAATCCTTAGATATGAGATAGCATATTTGCAGTATAGACCTTGAGTCTTCATGAAATATAACCATTTTCATAAATGCACAGTGCTGATGCCCATCTCATCTTAGTTCTCATACACATTTAAGTGTCTATTTTAGCCTCTGAGACATCATTAATTTTTTCAAGAGGGTCAGACATCTTGGTTTCTAAGAAAACATCAATATATATCACATTTTTTAGCACATAAGAGAACTAAGCCATCCCAGAACAAGCAGAACTACATATACATGTCAAACTAGAAGTAGTGCATGAGCAAATTAAGGACTGGAATTATCACCACATCATTTTGAGTATTTGAGTACATGAGAATACAACACAGGAGGTATACATAGAACACTTTTAGTACATGGCCAGCAGACCCAAGTGTAAATGACTGAAACTATCACCGTCCAACAAGCATCTTGATAGTACATGACAGAAAAGATCTATGAGTATCATTTTGCGTCCTGTTTTAGTGCTTCCTGTTGATCGAGCTTCATCCGCTGGCATTCCAGCTTCTATACGAGAGTTTTTAACCTCCATGAACTCTTATACACTTGATCAGTTCAATCTACCTAGCTAAGAACACCAAATAAGTAGGTGTCAGTTAGAAACATATATGAAATAGCATATCTTGAGAAGAGAGACATTCATTATGTCCAACTTCATTCACAGCTCCAACCAAGGATATATAACCTAGATGTCAAACTTAATATGAAATTCCGAATACACATGTAACCAATCAGGATAACCCTTGAGGTCGATGCTGGCATTCCAGCTTCTACATGGGAGTTTTCAAATCAAATAAAAATGGCATGTAGTAGCGGGATAAGTCTAATAGAGAGAGTACAAATATTTGTTACAGCATATTTCGTTATTCCACTACAGATTAGGTTATGTTGTTATACCTATTGACTTATAAACCAATAACATCAAAACTCTTGTTTCGAAAGAGGTCAGTATAACACACATATGTTCTAACTCAAAAATAATCATAAAAACTGACAAACATTCATGTTCATACCATTGAATGGACCTTAGCTGCTTGCACAAAAACCAGCTCATAAAAGTTTCATAGTGGTGAAGGTTAGAGATTATGACCCAAGGTTACAATTATAAATTTGACTTTACCCGTCTAAAAAGGACAATTATTGGACATGGGTACAAACATACTGGGCATGGAAAAAGTAAATCTGGATCGCCTTGAGAAAATAGGAATGCAGGCTACAGATTCACACTGGGTTAAAGCTTGCATGGGCATGCATAGACCTACGATCAATATATTGCAATTTTCAAGGATTAGTTAAAAGCATAAATGAGAATAACAAACAAGTGGCATCGAGCTAAAGAGAGTTTTATGACTGCCCTACAGGTGCAGATTATTACATGCTATTACACTGGGGCTTATCCAGAGAACCCTGCAACACAAATTCTAAGTTTAATACCATCAACCTTGTGTCACAAACGTGATACCATATTGATCTGTAAAATACTACTCCCTCCATTCCTGAATATTTGTCTTTCTAGATATTTTAACAAGTGACTACATACGGAGCAAATTAACAAGTGACTACATACGAAGCAAAATGAGTGAATCTACACCTAAAATATGTCTATATACATCTGTATGTGGTGTTCCATTTGAAATCTCTAGAAAGACAAATATTTAGGAACGGCGGGAGTACATGCCATTTACTTATGAGATCTGATTTTCTGTCACATGTAGTAATATATTTTGAAGCAAACTAAAATTCTACTACTATTAGCCAGATGCAATGCACATTCAACAAGCATTGCAGGTTGTGAGCAGTATAGGTACCTCTTGAGAGAATGATTCTTTCTTTTTTGGAGTACTAAAATCATCAATGAGAAGCATGGGTGAATTAATCTCTGCAAACAAGGTAGCATTGTTGTAATCTTGATTTCGAACGATGTTGATCGATTCCACAGCTACAAACATTTTTTTGGCAAACAACATCACAAGGGATTAACATAAAGTTAGATACATCAATGTACTTTCTTAGACCGATGTTCTCACCTGATAGTGCTGGCGCACATGCTGTGGTCATTGCAACCATGGGCACTCCTAAAGGCGATGTCACGCTTCCGCCCTCCATTACTGGATCCTGAGATGATAATTGAAAAGTTAGAAAAGAGATCATCTTTTGAAGTCAGACGTTAGGCACATGGACAAGATAAAGAACACAACCAACAACAACAGTTTTTGAAGCAGAATATATACTGTGACACTTCCTATTGTAGACCCTGGGTATTACGATGCACAAATTGTTTGCCCTTGATGCCACCATTTTGGGAAAATAATCCATATACAAGGACACTTCCTATTGTTCCCTGTTAAAATACTTTTTGTCCGCTATATTTTGGTTCCTCAAATATTAGTGCTTATTTCTGTTGTGGTATAGCACAGCAGCTACATATATCCTTGTTTAATCAGTATTTAAAATTGTATAATGTTTATTATTATTTATGAAGAAATGCATGGCACACATATCTTACTTGCGGTCCTGGCGTGCTATGTATACATTTTTATTTGGCACTGCTCTGAAGGTGTGTACTTGCAATTAAAATGGATGTATACCATCATCTTTAATACTTTGAGAGCTAGTTTTACATATAACTGGAACTGGGAAACACTACTGTTACTCGGTGGCCTGTTGCACGTCTAAAAGAGCTTGGACGAGTAAAAAAGTTTCGTGGTTGTTTCGTGGTACCTCCTATTGCAATATTGCTTGTGATGTTCCATATATGCATATAGAAAACTTCCAAACAACCTGGTCTAGATTTAAAGAGAGCTTCATAGTTTTCATCTTATAGATAAGAACATGCTATTACTGGAAAGATCCGATGAACATGAATCCAAATTTTTGATATGCCGATAAATGGACCAATTTGATTTTTTTTGTCTAGTAGAATCAGTTTACTTCCTTTCCAGCTTGTCAAGCTACTGATTCTGTATATGGAACTGCAGGTACCGAGTTTTTTAGTGAACTGCCGTGAACTTATACGTGAACTTCAAGACCCTAAGATTATTCAACCGTTCTCAACCTTCCAACTTGGTTCTGCAGAGTACTTAACAGTGAAACAAAATTCCAAATTAGAGTACGACACCACCAAGAACAGGAGCAAATGCATCATGCACACACAAGCAGATTTGACATGAAAGTACAGGAAAATAGAAGTATATAGATAAATCGTAAATTTACTTGATATAGTAAAATTGGAATGCAACACAAATAGCAAACAAAGTTAACATCTATTTACCAGGAAAATGAACAACCGTATCGAGGATTTGTAGGTTCGCACCACGTCGCATGGGGCGGTTGGGAAGGAGCCGAGGAGCTCACCACCGGCTTGCTGCTGACGAGGGGGAGGAGGACACGAGCTGATCCTGGTGCGTGAGAGAGAGAGAGGAGGCGACGAACCGACCGCTACCGGAGATTCAGATGAGAGGTTGCGAGCCTGCGACGAGCACACTGCGAGATGAGCTTAGTAGCAGAGGAGATCTGATTTGATCTGCCTCAAACAGCACCGCCGGCGACGTGATCGCCAGGAGCCATCATAGATTTTCTGAATTCGCCCAGCTTGAGGATGGATCTGGGCCGCCGCCGCCGACAGCGTTGGGGCCACCGCTCTGTACGCGATTTGGAATTGAACGACGAGGCCATCGAGACCAAATTAGCTTGCAGGGAAGGACATTTTTGCAAATTATGCGGACAGATCACTCCGCCTAAATCTGGGCCATCAGTCTCCCATCCGGTGGTCCACATCCATTTTTTCTATTTTTCTACCACAAGCATGTTTTCTATTGTAGTTGCTCCCACTTGTTGGCCAAGATGTACCGGCCTTGGAGACGGTATGTTTGTGCCTTGGGAGTTGGATCGTGTCTGTTGGATCGATCGTTTTTGCTTGGAGAACAAGCTTGATCGATGGGCAGGCGGGCAGGCATATAAAGACGCAGGCAGCACGGCCTTCCTTCCTCCAACTACAACCTGCAGACCAAGACCAAGCGGCAAGCACCAACGCTTCGTTCGAAAACCCGTCGATAGCTAGCAATGTCGGCGCTTCGATCCTTCCTTGGGAAGCTGCCGCGGCCCTCCTGCCGCCAGGCCGTCCTCGGTGGCACCGTCGCGTCCGCCGCGGCGGCCGGGATCTGGTACCTCCAACAAAACGGCGACAAAGCAGCACCAGCACCTGGTACGTACCTACGGATTTAATCTGATCTTTCCATCCAAATTTGTTACTGTATTTTTCCTCTAAGCGTGACTAATTACGCCATGCGCGTATTTTCAGTACCCGGTAGGCTTGGTGCCGAGGAGGAGGCCATGAAGAAAGAGACGCAGCGGGCAGCTGAGGAGGCGGCGGCCAAGAAAGCGCAGCACGCCGGGGAGGAGGCGGCCACGAAGAAGAAGACATAGATTATTATTATTATTTTTGATGAAAAAGGAGATGGTAGGTTTTTTTAGGGAGACATAGTTAGAACTAGTTATAATGGCGGTTGTGCCAAATTAGTTAATTATCTCATATACGAACGTTTAATTATGATTTGATGCGAGACAAATCTTTGTGAATGGGATCCTTTTTTGCAGTTTGGAGTTGTTTGGAGTTTTTTTTCCTAAGTACACTATAATATAGTACGATTTCTGTCACTGCAAAAAGAACAATGATTTCTGAAAAAGAAGACGCTACATCTTAAAATACTTTCAGTCTTTGTGTCCCCGATTCCATAACTTTCTTAGTATCCAAGAATCTACTCTTCACCCTGGCCAGGCACATGCGCTCTGTTCCCCGCCATCGTTGGTGGCTCGGTATTCTCCCAAATTTTTGCTGACAAAGTCGGCCCTTTTAATGAAAGCACTTACTGGTGCTTTTCATAGTTGGCACGTTTAGTCCATCCTCAACGAGCACCAGACGCACGTCAGATCTTAATTACGGCAGTAGAAGCAGCCAGCAGCAACTCTAGCAGAGACCTCCAATGTGACGCTCTCTGCGTCGAACGCTAACTATGACTAAAAATATATATGCAGTGGCGGGGATCACAGGCGGAGCTCCCGGTAGGGCGAGGCAGGGCGCCCGCCCTACCTTGATTTTTGGCAGAAAGATTTATACATGTACGCATACGCTGAGTGGTTGGCTGATTCTGTATGCGTGGAGTCAGGTCGCTAGGAAAAGGGAAAAAGAAGAAAAAGGAGTGGGCCTAGTCGCTCAGCTTCGGTCCACACTGTTTAGGCCCACTAGTTCCTGCTGCCAGGCATCGTTCCCTAAGCGGAACTGTACAGCTAAGAATGAAGGAGGGCTAGGTATTAGAAACCTCCAAGTCATTAATGAAGGCCTTATTCTTATTTCAGCTTGGAGACTTGCAGATGCTCCTAACTCTTATTTGTACCTTGTACTTAAATCCAAATACTTTCCGAACTTTTCCATTTGGACTGCTACTTTCACTGTTCCAAAATCTGCTTATTGGTCTTCCATTCTCAAAATGCTTCCCAAGTTAAAATCTCACTCTTTCTACCAAATTACTCAGGGGAATATTGCCCTCTGGAGTTCCCCATGGTGTTCTTCCTGATCCATTATTCATAATCATCTCATCATTCAGCCACCTGACTTTATTTATCCTGCTCAGGTTAAGGATCTATGGATTCCTGGGCAAAAAACTTGAAACAACAATCTTATTCATTCTTTTTTCCAAGAGCCTATGGCTACTTCTATTACTCAAACCTCCATCATTCAGGATGACTGCCCAGATATTCTCTGTTGGGACCTCACTCCGAGTGGCAAATGCACTTCTAAATCCACTTATAAATTGTGCTTGCAGGATATTCAAAGCATTACCAGGAATACTCGCTCTCAACTATCTTTGCAGGTTAAAAATCTTCTCACTCAGGTTTGGAAGCAAAAGTTGATTGCACTCCGTGTTCAAACTTTCGCATGGAGACTTCTTCGAAAAGCTCTTCCTACAGGTTTGCGAGCAGGCCTACTTTTCTTACTGATTGCCTCTCTTTGGCAAAAGCAGCGGCGGCAAGAAGTGTATTGGCAGATTCCACCCCTTGGACCATCAGAACTTCTCTAGCTGAATTTTTCTCCTTTACAAATGATCTCCAAGCACAGGTGTATCACATATCAAGAGAGATCAATGGTATTTTTCATAATGTGGCTCATCAGGTTCTTAGAAGTTTACCAGAACCTGACACTAGTTGTTTTGCTTCAGCTCATACAAACATGATATGCCCTGTTGTTTCTCTCCTGTCTAATTTCAATTTTCAGGGCTATGTAATTCACGCTGTAAGATGTTACTGAGCTGAATGTATTGGTTGGCGCTTTGTGCGCCTTTCTATGTTCAAAATAAATAAATAAGCGGAACTGCCAAAGCGATCAGGTCAATCCCAATCATTTCTAAAAAAAAAAGGTCAATCCCAATCGATCCAGCGGACGCACCAGTATACCACATATACACACGGAGTCCCACTCAGAAAGAAAAACGTATACACACGAAGAGGTATAAATTTCTACTCCCTCCTTTCTTAAATATAAGTCTTTTACAGATTTTTTATATGGACTACATATGGATGTATATAGATATATTTTAGAGTGTATATTCACTCATTTTGCTCCATATGTAGTACATATAAGAATCTCTAAAAAGTCTTATATTTAAAAATGGAGGGAGTACATTTTCGTGTCAAGAATTTATCAAATTTATGATACTTTTTTAGAAAATAGCTTTGGCAATCTAGTCCATATTTTTTTCAGGCCATTTTTCTATTTAGATTTGTTTTCTTCTGAAAATTCCACTGAATTTAATGATTCAGTTTAGAATCGCCTAAAATCATTAGAGTGTATTGTTAGTGTGTACATGATATTTTGATATTGCATCAAATTATTCTTTAACCTTTATGATTCGCCCCACCTTAAAATTTTCTCGTCCTCCGCCACTGGCGGGGATTAGAACACATGACGCACGTCTATACATGACGAGTTACTACCAGCCGAGCTAGCAGGTGAAGTGTATAAAGAGTAGCATCAAACCTAAAAAACCAAACATTCTGCGCAGATCCGAATCAATTTAGGAATTTCGGAAGCATTTTTTTAATCAACGGAATGTTCTGTGAAACGTAAACACTTTCAAATTTGTGAACAAAATTTTAAGAACCATAACATCTTTTAAAAATAAGAACATTTTGTTGGAAATCTTGTTACAATTTTTTTGAAACGAGAACATTTTTTCAAATTTCAAAACAAAATTTGGAAACGTGAATATATTTTGAATTCCTAAACAAAATTTGCAAACACGATTTTATAGAAATTTACATAAATAAATTAAACTGAAATATTTTTTGAAACTCCTGAAAAAAATGAAAAGATGAAGAAATTTGGGAATTTGTGAACAATTTTTAAAAACTAGGAACATTTTTCAAAAATTGTAGAAAAGTTTAACAAATACATTCCAAACAATTTTTGTAAAACAAGAACATTTTTTGAAATGCCCGAATAATTTTCAAAAAATGCGAACATTTTTTGAATTTATGAACAATTTTTTAAAACACGCATATTTTTGGAAATTTTGAATGTCTCGATACGAACAAAATTTAAACTTTCCGAACAATTTTCAAAAGAAACGAAAAAACGAAAAAACAGACAGAAAACAGAAAAAAAGGAAATGAAAGAAGAAAAAGAAACAGAAACGGAAAAACGGAAAAAAGAAAAACGAAAGCCCAAAGAAGACACAAGAAAACCGGTCAAAAAGGAAGAAAACAGGTCAGGTAACCTTCTAGAAGGTTCCCAAAACCGGCTGGCTAGCTCTCTTATAATGGGCCGGCCCGTTGCTAGCGAAGCGGGGTATGAGTGTGCGTTCTGTCGACAATTTGACGCAGTGAGCGGCGCATAGGGTTTTCTGCATATATGGTCATTATCCATATTAGACATCTGGACCCTGATGGGTTGTACGTAGTGGCTAGAGCGTCTCGTGTTAAATACTACTGTAGTAGTTGGTAGTTGGTTTTAGTCCTGCTAGATTCTTTTTTGTTGTTAAATTTTCGCAGTGTCGTAAATTATTTTCGCAGCACAACTATGCTCCACATGAGTCCTCGCCAAGTACTTATATGCTCGTTATCAAAATTGATGTGGACATGAATGGCGTAGACGCGTAGTGGCTTGACCGTCTCCTGTTAAATAAATTGGCAGTTTGTTCGAGTACTGCAGACGCTTTTTATTGTTAATTTCGCACATTTGTGCAGTACAGTTTTTCTGTACATAAAAAATGTGAACGTGTCCCTGCGGTTTAATTTTTCTGTAAATAATATTTTTGAGGGTGTTCTGTGTACAAATACATAGCACCCAGCACCATCGGTCATTGACAAATGAGGCCACACATGTGAATACATCTGCATACGCGTAGTGTGATTGTATGTGTACATTTTAGATGATCACAAAACCGTATTTTTAAATTTCTAGCATCAACTGAACATGTGACGCAAGTTTTAAATGAAAGAATTTGACCAATGGATGAAAGAATTTAGGTGCTAAATTATTAAATAAAATGAGGTTAGCAACAACAAATTAAGCACCTATGCATTGAAAAGTTGAGTCACTAAGCTATTTAGGCTCTGTTCGGAAATCATTCAGCTCCGCAGAATACGGGGCGGACGGAGCACCACTTTGGCGACTCACAGAGAATATGTTGCGGGCCGCTCCGCTCCGGCCGCTCTAAGAGGGGAGCCGGAAAGCTGCCGAACAGACTGTTAATGCTTTTAGCATCTTTTCATTGAAAGAGGTCTAGAGATTGGAGCGTGGGCCTCATTAGGGACAGGCGCGAGCGTGGATATAGACCGATTGAGCCAGAGATCAGCTTACCAATTTGTAGGCCTCCTTTGATTTGAAAGAATTTCATAGAAAAATCTAGAGGATATGATTCTTACAGGATTTATTTTTCTTAAAAGCCCTTTGGTTCATAGGAATAGATTCCTACTCCTACATAGGATTGGTCTTATCCTTCATATTTTATAGGAAAATAAAAATGAGCCTAGACTCAATGGAAAAAATTTCTTTGGTATGAACCAAATGACATCTTGTTTTCTATTTTTATTCATAAGATTTGAGATACACGTTATCTTATTTCCTATAAATTTTCTATTCCTACGATAATCCTATCCTATGAACTGAAAGAGGTCGTAACGTTTATCTATCTAAAAACGATCAACCTTTAATATGGCGCCGCGGGTATTAATATTTGTCGAATAGTACATGATTGTGGATGTTCTATGTATGCTACCCGAGTCAGGGATGTCCATATATCAGACTGGTTATAGTGGGGAGTAACTTATATTAGTGTCATGCATATGACACTAGTTTAAGTTACTACTTTCATAGTGCAAAGTAACACAGTAGTAGTGTCATAAAGAACTTTATTAATTAGTTTGTA